ACATATACATGACTTTTATAATGCAATTAATTCATTTATATAAAAAATATATAAGTTTGTTTTGTATTTTTTTATTGTACGACTTTGTGGTTTCTAATTTTTTTATTATTATTTAGCAAAACATATGTTATATAAATTGTTATCAAAAATATATAGTTTAGTTTAAAAATTACTTTTTATATTTTGCTTTACAAACAAAAATCTTTATATAAAAGACAAGTCGTGATTGAAAACAATAAGAACTTATGACAAGAAAGGAAAAAACACACAAATATTAAATGTTTATTATTATTAATAATAGATTATTCAAGAAAAATATGTGCTTTTAATTATCATTATAATATACAAACTATTAAAAACTTGATATTGATTTTTTAAAATTTTATATGATTAATGTAATAATATTTGTTAAAATAATACATAATATTATTAATTTAATGAATGTATGAGTAGTATTTACCGTATTTTACCCCATGCGCCACAACAACAACAATGCAAATAATTATAATTATATAATAAAAGTTTATTTAATAATAATTATTATGTTATAGATAATATCTTAATTTAATTTTTGTATATTATATATATATATAAATAAACTAACAGGTGGTCTTAAACATGAAAATTGTTAGCATAAATATTATATAAACACCGGAATAAGCAATTTATAAATGAGAATATCTAAAATTATATCGTTATTTAAATATACTATTAAAAATAAATGTTTTATTTTATTTAAATTTCATAACAATAATTCTATCAAATCAGGTTAAATTAACAATTAAAACATATTGTTAGAAATAAATGATAATTTATTTATTTAAATGATTCAAGTTTTCAAAGATTTTTCCAAACAAATAGATAAATCATTAATTTTTTTAAATTCCCATAATATATATACAATTATCAATTATTTGTTAAACACTTATTTATCAAAGAGTATTTGTTTTGTTATAGTATGACTATTGTATAAAAATATTGTAAAAATTAATTAATTGAAAATTGAAAACAAAGCAACTGATTAATGATGAAACTAATAAAAAGATATATTGAAAAATAGATAGTTAGAGAAAGAGAGGTTGTGTTTATTGAAAGTTATAAAACTATTAAATTAAAAAATAAATAAAATTTATTAGGAATTTACGAAAATTGAAGGCTTTGAATGAAAAAATTATTGTTTTTTGTAAGTTTTAGTAGAATTGACCCAAAAATAATAAAATATTTTCTGAAAATTGCAAAACTCTTACTTTTTTTGCATTATAGTTGTGTTAAAATATATTATTGTTAATAATCCTTAAAAATAATTAGTAATAAGGAAATAAATAGCAAAAAATATTTGTAAAAATAGCTATTTCTATACAAATAGAAATGTCAAAATCAATATTGTTTTGTTAATTTATTGAATTTTTTATTTTTTATTTAAATAATTAAATAAAATACTAAATCAATACATTATTTTCTAATCTGAAAAAATACAATTAAATTAAAAAATAATTTCTATTATTTATTAAAAATCACATTTAAAAACTTAAATATTTATAATTAGTAAAACATTGAGATTAAATTATATTATCATTAATTTTTAACTATATTTTCTAATGTTTTTAAATATATAATGTAATAATTTAATTATAATTTATAATAAAATTTAATTGGTAAATTCTATTATTATATTTATTATCTTGATAAAACTTATTACACATTAATTATTTTTAATATTTAATTATTTATGATATTAATATTTATTATTTAAATTACATAACAGTTTTTTTATAATTTGCTTATTGTTAATATACAGTATTAACTTAATGCTGTACATGAAATATATTGTTTATTATTTTGCTAATAATAGTGTGCCATCTACTTATTGAGTAAGTAAATTTTGCTTGGTAAAATATTATTAAAAATATGTATCAAATTATGTAAAGCTAAAATAACAATTAAAAATTGTAAAATTAAACATAATAATAAATATAATAAATAACATTTAAATAGGTAATACTAATTATTATGTTATACTAAAAGTTTATTAGCCTTATAATTATAAAGTTTTAATAATTCAAATAAATATCTTATTCATTAAAATTTGTTTATTAATTAATATTAATGAGACAATAAATGTATTTACTATTTATATATATAAATAGGTTTGTATAACTGTTTAAAATTTATTTTAATATTTAGGTCTTGATTAATTTTCAGTGATAATCAATAAATTTATTTAAAATAATAATTACAAATAAATACATTAAAATTAATTTTTGATATAATTTTTGTCATTTACAGAATCATATAATAAATATAAAAATTAAATAAATTTATGTAAACTTTATATATTTATATAATATTCATATAAATTCAGTTTGAATTATTTATATAATGTTTAATGATACTATTTATTTATTTATTAGATTTTAGCAATAAATTAATTTATTAAGCAACAAAATAATTAAAATAAATGAATTTTAAATTTTGATGTTTAAATTTTTATATCATATGATTTTATTAAAAACAGTTAAAACAGTTGCCCGAGAAATGGACTTAAAAAACTAATTGCATAATAATAAGCACAGGTATGTCGCGCGAGCTCATGTACTCTAAAGGGTCACCTTTTTGTTATATATATTTTAATTATTAATAAATACAAGAGTCACCCAATGAACTACAACATTAGGATCATTCACATCACATAAATATCACTTATTATGATAACCTGACCAAACAACCGGTGCGCCGGACTGTATAAACGTCTATTAATATATCGACATTTCCCCAAAATTTAATCTCTCTCTTTCTCTCATAAAATCTATTAATATATTACTAACAAATATTTAAGGCTGTGGTAATCAATGAGTAATATCTGACAAATCAATCATTTAGTCAAACAATTAATTGCTGACAGAAAAAATAATTATTTTATTCTCAAAGTTGTTTTCATTTAACCGTTTTATGTGTGAATGTTAATTATTTTAATTTGTTGGCTAACTGTGTGTGGATATAATTTGTTAAATTGTGTAATGACTTGTTAGCAATTAAATGAAAAATTTATTAACATTGATATCATAGGATGGGGGGATGACAGGGACAAACCCTCTGGAAATATTACATTTATATATTATATGTAATATATATTAAAGTATATGATGTTTAAAATAGAAGTTTTTACAAAATTATTGAGAAAAAAATTATTCATATAAATTTTAAAAATTTAAAAAGAGATGATTAGAGACAACTTAAAAATTTATTGAAAATATATTGAAGTACAGGGTCTGGTTGGTTGGTTGGGTCACCTTTATTTTCTTAGGTGACCTCAACTATTAATAGGTGACACATCTCATGGGTGACCCTTTCAAGTGCAGCCAATATTTTGTATATTTATTGAACATATATCATAGATAACATGTTTGTGGATTAATAAAACTATTTTTTTAAATATATAATATATTTTTTTAATTAATTAAGTATTTGTAATTTCTGTATACGTGATCGTCTACGTGACGGTTATATTATGTTTTAAACTAATATACTGTATATCAATATATATACAATATTTTTGGAAGAAATGACACAATTTTTTGAAGGCTTTGATATTAATTAATACTTAATTAATGGAAGAAAAAAATGATTTTATACCATAAAATTTATTATCCAGTATATAATTGCATAATTTTTATAAAATTGATACATTTTAATATTCTATTTATATTGACAAGTACATTTTGCATAAATTACTTTTAGTATACATATAAGTAAAAAAATAATATTTAAAATTAAACTTAATATTACAAATTATAATTCACAATGTAATACAGTATAATATAATAATATGTTAAAATTAATTATTATTATGTACTACAAATACAATCAGAGTAATTTCAAGTTAATCTAACACTAACTATAGTTAATATGACATTTTTAAAATTAATTTTTAATATATTAATTAAATGTTATAACATTTTTGTTTTATGATTAATCGCACAACAAATGATTAAACTAATACTATAAATTTAGAACTATTATTAATATAATTATCAAACTGTCTATCATAGTGTCTATAGTTAAACATTTTTGCAAATATTTGAGAAAAGTATTTTAGCAGAAAGTTTTTAAAAGCAATGAATTAAATATTTAAAATGCAAAAAAATGAGATTATTTTGTTAGATATTGAGACTAAAAGTTTCAAAGAGAGATAAGAGAGGGTTTTATATGTGAAACGCGTGATATGTATTAACAAACACAACACACATATACACCACAAACCCCTTAATAAAAATCTAATCAACAATAAAAATCAGGTATTATTACTTACCACTATTTTATTATACAGATTCAGTGATGGTTTATGAAGGCCACTGTTATTATCACCATCATTGGACACTATACTTGTTGTCATAAATCCGATATTAGCTGATCAGAGACATACTGTCGACAAATATTATGTGATAGTAAATATACTGTATATATATATATATATATATATATACTGATAAATTATATTTAATATAATATAAATGGTATATCATATTTATGGATGTCTTGATGTCACACAATTATCTCTCAATTTTTTTCAATACACAGATATTTACTTTACTTTTGCATTAAGACATTAAATGTTTAGTCAAATCTAGTAAATACTAATTTATAGCAAATTTTCTGATGATTTTTTTTGTCGGATGCATCTAATATACGTCAACACTATATTAGATTTATTGAATTTATTATATAAATAAATAGAATTTATTAATTAATATTTAATATATTTTAATAGTCTATAATTTAATGTATTACTAATAAGTCTCTTATTTGAATATTCGATAACTTATTATTATTTATAAGTTTTTATAATTTTGATATTCAAATTGAGTTTTAAAATATGATAATAATTTGTTGATTAGCCTTGTTTTTGCTAATGATTAATAAATTATTACTAAAAAAAATTTTCGCTGTCAATGTTTTCAATTTTTAATATATTTGACAAAAAAAAAGTGTTAAATAAATAAATAAATAATGAGTTTTATGATAAATAAGTGCAAAATCGGTGACATTAATGCTATCATTCACCGATATTTTGCTGTCCGTCACTGTATTGGTGGACATATGAGTCAACAGCGCCGATCGTATCGTAACTATAAGGCAAATGAGTTTATCGCCCGACACATCGGACCGCGAGATGAGGACAAAACATCTATGTTAAAGACCGTCGGTTATAAGGTATTACCCGTATATACAAGTATTTATAGACCTGTAGTCTACTATGTAAACTGATGCTACCGGTGCCAGACAATGGAAGACCTGATATCAGCGACAGTACCGAACAATATTCGACTCAAACGGGATCTCAAGCTCACGGAACCGGAATCCGAGACAGAGATACTCAAGAGATTGCAGTCCATCGCTGAACTCAACTCAACTCAGTGGCGGACATACATAGGAATGGGATATTATAACTGTGTAACGCCTACACCTATATTGCGCAATATATTTGAAAATCCAGGTTAAGTTGTTATTTTTTTTGGTAAACTATTTAGTAATGTAAACAATTTGTTAATTAATTAATAAACCATATGAATGGTTATGTGTTAGCAACAGATGCAAAGCTAATGTGTAATACATTGAATGTCATATCAATGTTATTGATATATAAAAATGATAACATTTATTATTTCTGTTTATGTGATATTTTTATTAATTACTAATTCATTGAATTATAACTTTGATAACAAATTAATTAATGGGACAAACGATAATTTAAAAAATAATTAAAAAATAATAATAAATTAACTAAATTATATAACAATAAATATATTGAATAACAATAGGATGGACAACACCTTACACACCATATCAGGCAGAGATAGCTCAGGGAAGACTAGAATCGTTACTTAATTACCAGACTATGATCTGTGAATTGACAGCATTAGACATAACCAATGCTAGTCTTTTAGATGAGGGAACAGCTGCTGCCGAGGCTATGCAGATGTGTTATAGGTTGGAAACACATCTAAAAAATTATCTAATTTTATATTTATCGGTAAATATTACTTATGTTTATCACTAAACCGGTCAGACATCACAAAGAAAAGCGCAATAAGTTTTTGGTCTCTGAGAACTCACACCCGCAGACTATGGCCATTGTTAAGACCAGAGCCGAAGCTTTGGGTATACATATTGATGTTTTTGATGGCATTAAAGAAGTGTTTGACGGAGTCGTTAAATTAGGCGATATGTTTGACTTATCTCAGTATTGTGGAGTATTAGTCAACTTTCCCGATACTAATGGCAATGTTGATAACCTGACCTCAATTGTTGAACAGTCCAAAGCCAAAGATTGCATTGTTGTTGTGGCCACCGATTTGTTGGCATTAACTATGATTAAACCTCCCGGCGATTACGGGTTAGGTTGCGATATTGCTATCGGAACTGCCCAGAGATTTGGTATACCACTTAATTATGGCGGTCCACACGCAGCTTTCTTGGCCTGTCGTGAATATCTGACCAGAATATTACCGGGAAGAGTGGTGGGACTGACCAAAGATGCACAGGGAAATCAAGCACTCAGACTGGCACTACAGACTCGGGAACAACATATCCGACGAGATAAGGCCACTTCAAACATATGTACAGCACAGGCATTATTGGCTAATATGAGTGCTATGTTTGCCATATATCACGGACCCAAAGGACTTAAAGATATTGCAGAAGATATCCACAAAAAGACTCTTTATTTGTCCCAAAAGATATCAGAAAACGAAGACAATAAAGTTGTTACTTATATGCCATTTGATACGCTTAAAGTCAAAGTCAAACTCCAGAAGTTTATCCGATCCAAAGCTGAGGCCAAACGAATTAATTTGCGGTATTATCCCGACGGCCAACACGTCAGCGTCTCGTTAGATGAGACGGTCACCGATCAAGACTTAAAAGACTTGATTTGGATTTTTGGCTCTCATGAAGAGGTTTTTATTTTTTTAAAAACCTATTTATTGATTAGTATTTAAAGAGTTTGTTATTATTTGTTTTATTAGTACGAAGAGACGGGAGATATTAAAATATCGGAAAATTTACTCAAAACAGGAGTTGAGTCGACACCAATTGGCCGGAAGTCACCATTCCTTACACATCCATTATTTAATACATATCATAGTGAGATGAAAATAGTCAGATATATGAAACGGTTAGAAAATAAGGACATCTCATTAGTACATTCAATGATACCATTGGTATGAAATTGAAATTTTACAAAATTATTGATTAAATATGTTTATAATTTATTGTTGTTATCGTAATTGTTTGTAAATTCAGGGCTCCTGTACTATGAAACTGAACGCCACGACCGAAATGATTCCCGTGTCGTGGCCTCACTTCGCATCCCTTCATCCATATCAACCGACATCGCAGACTAAAGGCTATCAATTGATGATCAATGAGTTGGAAAATGATTTGTGTCAGCTCACTGGTTATGATAACGTCTCTTTTCARCCAAATTCCGGTGCACAGGGAGAATATGCCGGACTTCGTGTCATAAAATCATATTTAGAGTCTAAAAATGAGGGGCACCGGGATGTAAGTGATGATTATGTTCTCATTTTTTAAATATGTTTTTCAAAAAATTTTGCATTTATTAATATATAATAACTAAGTTTTTAGGAAATTACATAAATAAAATTAATATGTATTTTTGGTGTATTAATGTATATTAATTAATTCAATAACTTATTTTTTAAAATTCATTACAAAATCAGTGCATAAATATATGATTTTAAATTCAAATGATAATTGATTTCAATTATTCAATGATTCAATTATACTCTTTTATATAGATATGTCTGATCCCTGTGTCAGCTCATGGCACAAACCCAGCCAGTGCTCACATGGCTGGCATGAAAGTTGAGGCAATACTGGTCCTTAAAGATGGCAGAATTGATATGGATTACCTCAAAGAAAAAGTAGGGGGAAAATCAACTGTATTTTATTATGACTGTCCTTATGTAATAAATATATAGAACTAATATAAACTTACATTTATATGTTACTAACTGTTGCTAACTGTCCTCCTGAGTCAAGTCATTGAACTCTCATTATAATTGATAACTAACTTATTTTAGTGTCTATTCTATAGGAAAAAAATTCAATCATTAATTTTATAGCAAATATGTTGATAAGCAAATAATTAATTATATTTTTCTTTTTAAAATTGTTTAATCAATATAAAGCTCGACAGGTTTCACRACCGCATCGCATGCCTTATGGTTACCTATCCGTCCACTTTTGGTGTCTTTGAGGAATCTATTGTCGAAATCTGTGATCTCATACATCAGTGCGGTTCGGCTCAGGTCTACTTAGACGGCGCTAACATGAATGCACAGGTGGGCCTCTGTAGGCCTGGTTAGTAGAGTTTTTTTTTGRCTCATAAAATATAAAATAACTATAAATAATGGCATATCATTAAAAAAAATGTATTGTATTTWWAAAAAATATTTTTATAGGTGATTACGGCAGTGATGTTTCTCATTTAAATTTACACAAAACATTTTGCATCCCTCACGGCGGTGGTGGACCGGGAATGGGACCCATTGCCGTCAAAATGCACTGTAATATACATAAATAAACTTAAAATTTATATAAATATATTTTAAATTTACAATTTAATTACTTTTGAATTAATTTTGAAACATAAATATCATAAGAATATTTCAAAAAATAGACAACAAATTTATTTTTTTAGAAACTTATTTATTTATATRTTTTCTTTTAACTAAAAGTAACACCATTTTTACCGTCACATCCGGTCGTTGTCGATGAGATGATAGATACTCAGCACAGGTATAATTTATAGCAAATACCTCTATATAACTAATTAATTGCAACTCATTACAAGTCAACTATTTATATGTTTCCGATTATTTTAAATAGCTTTGGTACGGTATCGGCCGCGCCCTGGGGTTCAGCAGCTATACTACCAATTAGCTGGACATACATAAAACTGATGGGTGAACAAGGCTTAAGACATGCCTCCGAAGTGGCAATACTTAACGCTAATTATATGGCCGCCAGACTTAAARATGCTTATAAAGTGCTTTATAGAGGTACTAACGGAACGGTAGCTCATGAGTTCATATTAGATGTAAGAGATTTTAAAAAGACAGCCGGTGTTGAAGCCATGGATATTGCTAAGAGACTACAAGATTATGGATTTCACGCACCGACCGTTTCGTTTCCTGTGGCCAACACACTGATGATTGAACCGACAGAATCGGAAGACAAACCAGAATTAGACAGATTCTGTGAGGCTATGTTAAGCATCAGGTCCGAGATCAGGGATATTGAGACAGGACTTATGGACAAAAAAATCAATCCATTAAAAGTATATAAATTTTATTAAAAACATATTTGTTTTAATTAACTAACAATAACTCTTACAGTGCGCACCCCATACTCAGAGGGTTATCTGTGCAACAAATTGGGACCGACCCTACACTCGGGAAGTGGCCGCTTTCCCAGCTGTAAGTTTTATACAGTTGTTTATGAATCTTTTTAATCAAATTAAATTATTTATAAAATGGCATTTAAAAAAATAATAATTATCAATTTATTTATTTATTTTCATAGAGCTTTGTCAAACCTGAAACAAAAATGTGGCCAACAGTTGGACGCATTGATGACATCTATGGCGATACTCATTTGTTTTGTACCTGTCCTCCTGTCTCTGAACAATATTAAGTCAAACTAATTGTTTAGTCCTCTTTGATAAATAAAAATATTTGTAAGCTTTTTATGTATAATACTGTAGACAGTGTATAGTATATACAGTATTACAGTACTAAACTATACTAAAGTTAAGTTAAATATAATGTTTAAAAATATATTTACCTAATTAAATAAAAAACGTGTATTTAAATATCAAAACAAATATTAAATTATTTGGTATCATAATCATAAATATGACTAATTTCCTATTAAATTCATATAATGTAAAATTGATCAAATAATTATTTAATAATATTACCGTARAGTGAAAGTTTTCATAATTTTTACAAATTTTTTTATTAAATTTAGTTTTAACAAATATAAAAATATACTAATATTATTAATTAATTAAAAYAAATACCGGTATTTAGATTCAATATAAAAATAAGTATAACATATTTTTTTTAAATGTAAAAATATATAAATAATATTGTGTTTAATAGTTACCAATATTTATAGAAATCATTTATAGGAAGGAATCTGTTTTTATGGCCCATTCTTTTTGGGACTCTTTGGTATTGAGCTCTTCTTAGGACTGGTAGGTATATTGAGTTTAGCCGGTAGGTTGACATCGGACTCAAACGATCCGACTTGCATTTCCCAACGGAGRTTTGGGTCCAGTTTGCCCACCAGTTCATCATTTATGCTCTAATTCACAGTTAATTATATAATAAAATTTTATTATAATTTTTTTTAGTCAAACATTTTTTTCAATCATTTGTTTCAACCTTTTCATGCACTTTATGTTTTGACGCCGATTTTTTAGCGATAGTCAACCAATAAACCAAACCCAATGCACAGACTAATAGTATAACTAATATGAAGACCATTGCTAGTGTCACATAACTGATCCCCAAAATGCCACCACTTTCTTCATGCGATGACTTACTGGTCGTTGAATTCAATGCTACACTCCTTTGATTTCGGATCGATATTAATGTAAAACCATTTGTGTCATTCAATTGATCCATTAATGACAGCATATTTGGTATTTGATAAGATTTGTAAACCAATTGACAAATAAAAATTGAATTGATTTCACTTCAACCGAAATTTTACTCTTTATATACACTATATATTATTGACAACAATTTATAACTTTATTTCAATATATTTGATATATAATTAACTATAGGTATAGCGCGTAATAATCATTATTAACATAACACGTGTTAGTTTTTTTAAATAAATTATATGACAATCAATAAAAACTATGTTAATTAATTAATTRACAGCAATTTATTTTGAATGGATCAAAAAGTTTGTCCCTATTGTTGTGCACCGGTATGTTTTGATTGCAAAAAAATGTTGCCTATAGTTCATCTGTAAAAACTTCAAGTTCTACCAAAACTTTTTGAACTATTGTTTTAACTAATAGAACTGATATTCATATTAAGTGTTTTGTTTTATTTATTYATAATTCTAAATATTATTATAATAACAACATTTGTAAATAAAAAGATTAAAACATAATTATTACTAATTAATGACAAACTATAGTACAGTAAAAATATTAATATTTATAAACTGTTTTGTCTTTTATTTTATTTTTTCTCAAACATTCATTTCAATAACAAAAAAATATTTGTTTCTCTCATTTCTTATATCAATCAGACATATAATATAATATATTAGTTATTCAAATGAAAAGTTTTTTGTCGGATCAGTTGAGGTGATGACTGCACACACTTATAGCATATGATTGGTTAAGTGACAGATGTCAGCACTGATGGTTTGGTCGACCACTTGTTGGCATTAATTCAAATGATTTGAATAACGATTATGTAATCAATTGATTGATTGATTGACTGACGTATTGATTCACACTATTATAATACATATCTTTTTACAATTAGTATCCATCGATGGCATTGATGACCAGTTTATTGTCAAATAGTGGCAAATATTTGCCACAAGTATTGCGTGTCTTTTGCCGACAGACTACCAGATGTTTGTCAGCGACGGCAACGCAAAACAAGACAAATGAAACGATTAACATAAGTGATGTCGGCATTGAAGACATCGGCGATTTGGTCAACGGTCTCACTAATGAACAGATGGATTTGAGGTCAACAGTGCGAAAGTTTACCGAAAAAGAGTTGACTGAAAATGTTGTGCAACAGATGGACAAAGATAGTCATTGGGATCAGTTTAGACAGTTCTGGACCAAACTCGGCTCAATGGGTCTGTTAGGAGTGACCGCTGAGGCTAAGTATGGCGGACTTGAGTTGGGCTACTTTGAGCACTGCCTCGTCATGGAAGAGATCAGTAGATGCGGTGCTGCCATTGGTCTGTCATACGGAGCGCACAGTAATCTCTGCGTCAATCAGTTGACACTCAACGGCAATGAAGAACAGAAACAGAAATATTTGCCGAAACTAATTGACGGCTCTTATGTGGGCTCACTGGCCATGTCTGAAGTGTCGAGTGGTTCCGATGTTGTCTCCATGAGAACTATTGCTGAGAAACATAAAGACTATTATATACTCAACGGTTCCAAGTTTTGGATAACCAATGCATCGGAAGCCGATGTGCTGTTTGTTTATGCAAAGACCAGTGAGCGAGGAATCACACCATTTATTATAGAGAAAGGTATGGAAGGCTTCAGTATTGGCCAGAAGATTGACAAACTCGGTATGAGAGGCTCTCCGACGGCCGAAATATTGTTTGACAATTGCAAAGTACCCTTTGATAATATGGTCGGACAGGTGAACAAAGGTGTCTATGTATTGATGAGTGGTCTGGACTACGAACGACTTATCCTATCTGGCGGTTCACTCGGTATAATGCAAAGTGCCTGCGAATTGGCTTTCCGTTATGCTCACCAACGCTCACAATTTGGACAACCTATTGGCCATTTTCAGATAATTCAGGCAAAAATGGCCGATATGTATACAAATCTGTCTGCTTGTCGTTCATATCTCTACAACACCGCCCGTGCCGTTGATGAATACAAGCGTAGGACTGGCGGGAAAATACCGTTAGGTTCGTCGAGTCCTTTCACTAAAGAGTGCGCCGGAGCTATACTGAAGTTGTCTGAAACGGCAACACAGGTAGCGCTCGACACCATTCAGATTATGGGAGGCAATGGCTATTCCAATGAGTACAGCGCCGGACGTTATCTACGGGACGCCAAACTGTATGAAATTGGCGCCGGAACTCAAGAGATAAGACGATGGCTTATTGGCAGACAATTGAATAAATTATATGAATAATTGCAATCATTTGCAATCATTAGTCTGGATCTGTTAAATTGAATACTCTGTTTTTTATAACTTTTTATATATATTTTTTTATTGATTACCGTTTTATAGTATTTACAATTTTTAAAGTTTAAATCATTATTTTTCAAATAAATAAAAATCAATTTTTATTAAAATGATCATTAAGTGTAAATGTAAAATGTTTTATAAGATTATTCTATACTTTTAAAAACTAATCATTGATTGATTTATTGATTATATAATAACAACACTTTATAACAAACTAATGCAACAAATAATTACAAAAAACATCTCTCAAAGTCATTCAAATGTAATACTAGTGTAATCATTATCTGATAGCAAATCAGTTTTAATGTTCTTCATTTGTGTCTTGTTTTGGACATCAGATGTCTTGAGAAGACCGCGAAACTGTTTCTCATGTATTTTCTTATGTTTTCTAATGTTACCGGAATCGACACATCGGTATTGACAACCCGGCCAATTGCAGGCATACCTCTTGTCTTCGTTATGAATACGCAAATGATTTTTAAGACTCAAACTGGACTTAAATCCTTTGTCACATCCGACCCACGGACACAAATAGTCGCGTTCTGTCTTATGGACCAACTTATGTCTGGCCAAACACTTTTTATTGCTCATATAACTACATCCTGGCCACGCACAGGCCACAAGTTCGGGCTGTTGTACTCCCAGCTGAACACCGCGACTGGTCTTTGGTCGGCCCGGTATACGTTTGTCGAGTACTGAACCTATTATATAATGAAAACATACAATATATCTATCTATTAAATCATCAATCAGATGGTGGAAAGTACCGGTTGTCTCAAACTTTCTGACCAATCGAGTAATGCCCGAACTGGTGGGCATATGAGGACAGTCAGGATGTCTTTCGGCGAACACCCGAACCGTTTGTTTGAGACTTTTTCCGCTGTAAAAGATTTTGATTAATTCAATCCTCTCCTGAAGTGTAAACTTATGATTGACTCTCTTGTCTTCTATTATTTCTTCTTCATTCATCACCGCAATTGATCCTCAAAAAACAATTTCCAAAATCAAAAGTGATGTCTAAAACAAATAACTAAAATGTTTTGATGATAATATATGGGACCAAATGAATGGTGACAATCAATGGGTTACCACAGGAAGTGTTGTCGACAAACAATAACTAATAAATCAATAAAACTAATGAATTGACAGTCAATTCAAATGTCAAATATTTTTGTCAATTATTTATTTATTTATATTTATTTGTTTATTATTTGAATACAAAAAATACAAACAAATAATTAGCAAAACTATACATTGAATTGCATTTTGAATGCAATGGTTATATAACCTATATTTTGGCACTTTTTATGTTATAGTATTATTGTATGCTTTGAATATAGTTTTGTTAATATTAAATGGTATGATATTGTGGTCTAGTATTTAGTGTGGACTATCAGTGAGCGCAGGCGTCACTCGTTTGCCGCCATTTGTGTCATCAAAATATCAGATGAAGAGTCAGTTGTTAACTAATATATAGAGACCAACGATATTACCATTAAATCAATTGATGGCAGTCTTGATGTAGTTATCGATTTGTATTGTCATTTGATTCACATGTTGTTTAGTCATTGGATGCATTCATCTTATAGTGTTATCGTTGACTGTTATCACTGATCGACGGGTGTCTCACAAACACATACATCAGTCATCCACTCGTTTTGGTTCATCAGTTGATATCATTGTAAGACATCCGAAGCAATGCCCGGTTTTTGCGAATTCATTGAAGTCGAGAACTTCAAGTCTTATTCTGGATATCAACGGATTGGACCACTAAAACAGTTTACGGCTGTCATCGGTCCCAATGGTAGCGGCAAATCAAACTTCATGGACGCCATCAGCTTTGTGTTGGGAGAGAAGACCAACAATTTGCGAGTAAAGAAACTATCGGAGCTAATCCACGGCGCGTCTATTGGACGACCGGTTGGCAATCAGGCGTTTGTTTGTCTCGTTTACAAAGATCAGGATACCGGTCGTCACACACGCTTCCAGAGACTAGTGTTGGGCAGCAGTTCTGAGTATCGCATTGATGACAACCCGGTGTCTAAACAGGATTATGCGGCCCGACTCGAGACGCTCGGTATCAACGTTAAGGCCAGAAATTTTCTCGTATATCAGGGAGCAGTTGAATCGATTGCTATGAAAAATCCCAGAGAAATAACTGGACTTTTTGAAGAAATTGCAAGAAGTAATGAATATAAGGATGAATACGTTAACAGAAAAATACGAATGGATCGATCGGAAGAAGAATTACATCATATGTACGTCAAGAAGAAAGGTATTGCGGCCGAGAAAAAGGAGGCACAGGGAGAGATCAATGAGGCGAAGAAATACCAGAACTTAAGGGAAGAGCTCAACAAAGTACAAATCGATCTACAATTGTTCAAATTGTATCACATCCAGGAAGATATCGAGGATCTTCAGGGAGATATGGACCGCAAACGCAAAGATATGGAAAAACACGTCAAACAAAAAGAGAAAATTGAAACAGAAATCAGAAATAAAAAACAAAATTTAACCAAAATTAGTAAAGACTTGTCTTCTATTGATCGCAAAATACGAGACGTCGAGTTGAATCTGAATAAAAAGAGACCCACTTATATCAAAGCAAAGGAAAACGCGTCACACATCGAGAAGAAGTTGGAAACGGCTAAGAAATCTAAGGCATCGGCCATTAAAGCGCACGACAATCACCAGAAAGTGATCGACGAACTCGAAAAAGAACACAACAGAGTTGTCAAAGACTATGAAAAGTGGGAGAAAGAGATGGAAAAGGAAAAGGAATCGCATAAGACTGATGTCGTTATGAAAGAGTCGCAAAAAAAGGAATACAACAGTCTTAAAGAAGAGGCCGCACGACTGTCAGCCAAATATTTAAAAGATTTGGATTCACTTGAAAGGGAACAGAAGGCCGATCAGGACAGGAATGAGAATGAAATGCGCAAAAAGAGTGACATCGAGTCCAGGATTAGAGTTCTTCAAAACAATTTGGAGGAAAATCAAAAGCGAATCGACAAACTTAAGGACAACATTGAGGTCAGTGAAAGCAACCTCCAGGAGCTTAACAAGAAAAAGACTGAAATAGAAGAGATTGTTAACTCAAGTAAAGAGAAAGTTGAGAGTATTACCATTAAACTCGAGTCCATTAACCGAGAATTGGGTGACGCAAAAGTGGACAGACATGAAGATGAACGACGAAAGAAAAAGGCAGAAGTGGTGGAGAATCTCAAGAAATTATATCCCGGAGTCTTTGACCGATTACTTAATATGTGTAAACCTATCCATAAGCGCTACAATATGGCCATTACTAAAGTGATGGGCAAGAATATGAATGCCATTATAGTGGACAGCGAAAGAACGGGTCGACAATGTATTCAATATCTGAAGGAACAGATGCTCGAACCCGAAACCTTTCTTCCGCTCGACTATATTGAGGTGAAACAAGTGAAAGAACGGTTGCGAAACATTCAACACCCAAAAGGTGTTAAACTGTTATACGATGTGATAAAGTATGAGCCGCCGGCCATTAAACGTGCCGTACTTTACGCGACTAACAACGCATTGGTTTGCGAGACGGCCGAAGATGCCAATCACGTGGCCTTTGATTTGGGAGATGGCAAACGTTACGACGCGGTCGCACTCGACGGCACTTTCTATCAGAAATGTGGTTTCATTTCCGGCGGTAGCGCTGACCTTGAAAAGCGGGCCCGACGTTGGGATGAAAAAGAGTTACATAAACTTAAATACGAAAAAGAAAAGTTGGCCGACACTCTCAAAGAAGAACTGAAAAAGACACGCAAAGAGAGTGACTTAATGGTCATCAATAGTCAAATCAAAGGTTTGGACACACGTTTGAAATACTGTCGAAGCGATAAACAACAGACAGAGAAAAACACTGAAGACTTTAAACGTGAAATCAAAGAGTTAGAGAAAAAGGTTGTGTCATATGATCCACAAATCAAAGAAATTACTCAACGAATGAATGAAAGAGAAGTGAAAATCGATAAAATCAGAGATGCAATGAATTCAGTCGAAGACACTATATTTTCAGACTTTTGCGAACAGTTAGGCGTCGATAATATTCGTCAATACGAAGAACGACAGAACAAAGTCTCGCAAGAAAATGAAAAGAAGAGATTGCAGTTCGAGAACGAAAAGAATTCATTGCAAAGTCGTTTGGCGTACGAGAAGAGCAAAGACACGAATGAGAACGTCAAGAGATGGCAAAGGATTGTGTCCGAAGAAGAAGATAACTTACAAACAGCGAGAGAAACGGAAAAGAAAGAAATGAAAGCCATTGAAGAGGAGATGAGAAAAGTAGAAGAATTGAAAACAGAAAAGATTACCAGAAAAACGGAAAGCGATGGCGTCGAGGATGAGATTCAAGAGATAAAGCGCGGTATGTCTAGCATTCAGAAGGATTTAACGTCAGCGCAAAAGGCATTAATGCAAATCGAGTGTCGATTGGACTCTAAGAAGTCGGACAGACACGCAATACTACTACACTGTAAAATGGAATGCATTGAACTGCCACTTGTTTCCGGTGATCTCAACGACATTACAGCCGGCGGTACTAATAATAATGAGGGAGAAACCAATGGTAACGCTGATGAAGATGACGACGATGACGGACCTTCCACTCAACGTTCATATGAAAGCGATTCAAAAATAAAGCCAGACTTTACAATATTGAAGAATAGCTTTAAAAATGTATTTATTTTATAATCTTTTGTCATAATTTTATTTAATATTTTTAAATATATAATTATTATTTTGTTTGATTAGTTGAACGATGCGGATGTGATCAAAAAGAAAGAGCAAGAAATGCAACAGGAAATTAATCAAAAACGGGAAGTCCTCAGAAAAATACAGGCGCCTAACATGAGAGCTATAGATAAGTATGTGTTTTAATGCTTTATATATTTGTTTTATTGAATATTTGATATAATTTTAATCATATAAATGATTAGATTGGAAGACGTTAAGGACAGACTTAAAGAGACCGATTCGGAGGTAAATAACTTAAGGTTGGACTCAAAAAAGGCCAAAATGTCGTTCGAAGAAGTGAAGAGAAACCGATTGCGTGATTTCAATCTTTGTTTCGAGAGTGTCGCCCAACGGGTTGATTCAATTTACAAGTCATTGACGAACAATGCCAGCGCACAAGCCTTTCTGGTACCCGAAAACCCTGAAGAACCCTATTTAGAGGGTATTAACTATAACTGTGTGGCACCCGGAAAACGGTTCCAACCGATGAGCAACTTGAGCGGTGGTGAGAAAACAGTGGCCGCATTGGCACTATTGTTTGCCATACATTCCTACAAACCGGCGCCATTTTTTGTGTTGGACGAGATCGACGCCGCACTCGACAACACTAACATTGGAAAGGTATGTGTCGTATATACTGTATAACAATCTAATAGATGTTTTAGTTATATGTCAAACATTTGCCACTATATTTAATGCGTTTTTTATTACTTTTTAACCGATCGATAGGTCGCGCGTTTTATAAGAGAAAGAACTGAATCGACGTTTCAATGCATAGTTATATCACTAAAAGAGGAATTCTATGGACACGCGTCGGCACTGATCGGTGTCGCACCTGATGTGAGATTAATGACTTTCCACTGTATTTACTATTTGTTTAATAATATTTTTGTTTTCTTTACTTATATTTTATATATCCATTGATGGCTCAATAGCCCGGAGACTGTACTATTAGTCGTGTCTTTACAGCAGATTTATCTCAATATCAAGAATAATAATACTGTAATAATAGTAATTTATTATTAAATGTAAAATCATATATAATTTATTAATGTTTTTCTCTCTCATCCGAACATTTTGTGACATAAATTATTATTTGAAAGAAATCTTTTTAATTTTATCTCTCGTTATTATGTAATCTATAATCTCGTTCACAACTTTTTTCATAATTTCATTGCTTTTATCTTTTTAGATAATTTTCATAAGATTATAAAAAATTATAATAATATTATAATTAAAAAAATCACTTATTTTGCAATAATAATGATAATAAAGTTGGCAATCAGTCAGTCATCTTCATTGTGTTTTTATTGTTTTAATATAAAATTTGTCAAAGTTTTATACTATATTGACATAAGAAAATATTTGTTTAAATTTTTAAAGTTTTTTAATATTGCATTGTCAAAATAAAATTTTTACTTACCGTAATCTAAATATTTTTCTAAAACTGATGACAAAAAATTAATTTTAAAAAATGAGTAAATAATTCAAGAGCCAKAAGTTTATTATAAGATTTTTTTCTCTGAAAACCACATAAACATTGCTTTATTTTGCATTTTATGATTAAAAAAACTTATTCAGATAATGTTATGAAAAAAATAAGAGGAAATTAAATATCTATTTATATAACAAACTTTCAGTGACATATTAATTAGATTTTAATTGTTTTTATTTTTATAAACAAAATAATAAAAATTTGCATATTTATAAAACTTTGAGTATTATATCATTTGAGTGGTGTTGAAAAGTAGTCTTAAAAATAAATAATTGATAGAAAAATAATATTTTGTTACTAATGATGTGCCCATAATTATGCAAATATTGATTATCATCTTTGTTTTCTCAAATTGTATATATGATATATACTGTATAAATACAATATATATTTCTTCGGTTTATATATAAAATTATTAAATCAATTATAATTTATGCAATGAATTAGTGTCATATAAATTGATGAATTGTTTGCATTTATTTTATCAAACATTAGTGTGTTTATTAGCAATAGTTTTATGCTAATTGATGTGGCATTGATTGAAGTCTGAATGTGATTACAATGATAATAAAGATTTTTTTTTGGTATATTTAAGTTTTGTATGTTTAATGATGAAGAATGAAAGGGAGGGTTAAGGGAGGAGAGGTTAGGTTTGTATGGGAAACAGCTGTGCTATTAATGTCAAATCTATGTGACACTAATCAAACTCACGTTAACTAAAAAATGAATGCAATGAATGCATCGTAAAACTAGTGAAACGATGAAAGAAACGGAGAAAATAAAAACCAAATTCAATGATAATGAGAGACCAAATATGATGGCATTGTTATTGCAAACAATATATTTGTCTCATCAATGTTGACCTCAAATGGTATGGTATGATATGGCATAACACATATATACTGTATATTATGTACCAAATTGTTTGCAGTCATGTTTCACAATCACAATGTCGTTCACTACTGTACTGAGATATTTGCGAACCAAATATAACTTATTATTTGTTACATTAGTATTACGTTAGTTATAACTGGAGTTATGTATTAATTTATATGCGATGTATTATACTGTATATATTGTTACCGAAACTGCAAAAAAGTGGTGTATTTTTGTATCAAAAGTGTCGCTCATATATGTGAATGTCATTTCTCGCTATACTATGTGACTGTGCTTTGGCTTTCATATCGTTTTAATCGATCAAAATGTCACTAACATAAGCACATCCATCATTTGCCAGAGTTTCCCGACACCACCAACATTGGCACTGCCTTTCTCTTTCACTTTCATCATTATATGGCTATCCCTGTGTCAAAACGCCAGGTTCTCTTACACCCTCCTTATCGTTCATATGATATGCCGTTCAATGTAATCCCAAACATAAAATCATTGGAGACTTACAAACATTTTTTTTGAGAAATAATTTTAATTCTAATAATATATCAATAAAAGTGCTCTCTCTCTCTCTCTCTTTCTCGCTCTCTCTCTCTCTCTCTCTCTCTCTCTCTTTCTCGCTCTCTCTCTCTCTCTCTCTCTCTCTTTCTCTCTCTCTCTCTCTCTCTCTCTCTCTCTCTCTCTCTCTCTCTCTCTCTCTCTCTCTCTCTCTCTCTCTCTCTCTCTCTCTCTCTCTCTCTCTCTCTCTCTCTCTCTCTCTCTCTCTCTCTCTCTCTCTCTCTCTCTCTCTCTCTCTCGCTCTCTCTCTCTCTCTCTCTCTCTCTCTCTCTCTCTCTTCTCTCTCTCTCTCTCTCTCTTTCTCGCTCTCTCTCTCTCTCATATTTTTTTTAAATAAAATATATGTGTTCTTTATTTTCACAATTTTTAATATATCGACTAAAATAATTTTTTTATATATTTTGCTTACACATCGACCATCTGATCCCATAGTTATATATTATTCAATTTATATAGATATTTACACACATACAGAATATTCTGTGTTTGAGTTTATTTGGTTTTATGTGTGTGTGTATGTATGTATGTGTGTGTGTGTGTGTATGTGTGTGTGTGTATGTATGTATGTGTGTGTGTGTGTGTGTGTGTGTGTGTGTGTATGTATGTGTGTGTGTGTGTGTGTGTGTGTGTGTGTGTGTGTGTGTCTGTGTTTGTGTCATGTCGTGACAGTCCTAATACCAGCTCTTAAAGCCATCGATTATGTTGTGCGACGAGAAAAAATGCTGTGTTGTGTTCACTCACTTATTATTAAATATATAACACAATTAAGAAGTTTTTTCTTTTAATATAATAATATATAGTATGTGTAACTCCTTTATAGTGGCAATCAATTCCCCGGAGCACTCATATACCGATCCATTCATCTCATTGAACGCATAATACATTAGATATTATAACCATTTTTTTGTAGATTATTTTTTGAGATGTAAATAGACGACAGTGAGTGAGTCTATTCAATCATTTAGTTGCTCACCCGCTCATTATATTTAGCACAAAATAATACAAAATTACAATCAAACTATTGTTTGCGTGTAAATAATGTAAAAGTCATATATTACTAATAATATTATATAAACAACAATGGCATTAATTATATAACATTTTTATCATTTACTAATATAGTGTATAAAGAAAAACCATAGTTATTTATTATACATTATCTATTATATAATAATTTTTTTTATAGTTTTTATTTTTACTAAATAGATATTCCAAAACAATTGATAAAAATATACCATTAGTTTGAAAACTTAAAATAATATATATATTTATCCCTTAATTCCTAACTATCTTTTATTCTCTCTAAATGTCTGTTTATTTAACTGACTCAGAAAAAACCAACAGATTTTCTATCATTTAGTTTTGATAATGTTTTTCAGTTATAAAGAAGTTATAAAAATTTGTGAGAAAAATGATTGAAAATTTTATTCCCAAACTATTTCATGATTGATGACAAAACCTCAACGTTGGTCTCCATGTGTTTGCTTTTTTAAAAACAATTGTAAAGTATTATAATTTAAATGAAAAATGCTTTTTATATTTAACTCTCTCTCTCTCTCTCTCTCTCTCTCTCTCTCTCTCTCTCTCTTTCTTTCTTTCTTTCTTTCTTTCTGTGAAAACATAACTCTTGTAAATATAGACTAAACTAATGGAAAGTAAAGAAACAAATAAAATCTATTTGTTTGACTGATTACTAAAATTTTTAATGGGAATACATTTATTTTGGTCAACAATATGTCAATTTTATTAAGCATTTTATTTCGGCTTATTTATTGAATACATTAATTATATTCTCTTACAATAATATTAGTATTTTCACAGAAAAATAGTTTTATTGTTTATACAACAAATCTTCTCATATTAAAACCTAACACATATGTTGTATAATCTTATTTTTTGTATAAAATATACAAAAGTGTTTTATATTACCATATATATCAAATGTAAGATATTTATTTGTTATCCAATTGAAATGTTTATATTAAATTAAAATTTATTTATTCAGTAAAATCAATTTTATTAAATTAGTTGACTGTATGTGTATGTGTATGTGTATGTGTATGTGTATGTGTATGTGTATGTGTATGTGTATGTGTATGTGTATGTGTATGTGTATGTGTATGTGTATGTGTATGTGTATGTGTATGTGTATGTGTATGTGTATGTGTATGTGTATGTGTATGTGTATGTGTATGTGTATGTGTATGTGTATGTGTATGTGTATGTGTATGTGTATGTGTATGTGTATGTGTATGTGTATGTGTATGTGTATGTGTATGTGTATGTGTATGTGTATGTGTATGTGTATGTGTATGTGTATGTGTATGTGTATGTGTATGTGTATGTGTATGTGTATGTGTATGTGTATGTGTATGTGTATGTGTATGTGTATGTGTATGTGTATGTGTATGTGTATGTGTATGTGTATGTGTATGTGTATGTGTATGTGTATGTGTATGTGTATGTGTATGTGTATGTGTATGTGTATGTGTATGTGTATGTGTATGTGTATGTGTATGTGTATGTGTATGTGTATGTGTATGTGTATGTGTATGTGTATGTGTATGTGTATGTGTATGTGTATGTGTATGTGTATGTGTATGTGTATGTGTATGTGTATGTGTATGTGTATGTGTATGTGTATGTGTATGTGTATGTGTGTATGTGTGTATGTGTATGTGTATGTGTATGTGTATGTGTATGTGTATGTGTATGTGTGTGTATGTGTATGTGTATGTGTATGTGTATGTGTATGTGTATGTGTATGTGTATGTGTATGTGTATGTGTATGTGTATGTGTATGTGTATGTGTATGTGTATGTGTATGTGTATGTGTATGTGTATGTGTATGTGTATGTGTATGTGTATGTGTATGTGTATGTGTATGTGTATGTGAGAGAAGATTTAAAATATTTGATTCTAAAAAAACAAAATTAATACTTTTCTGTCAAAACATTGAAAACTGTTTGACATTAAATGATTGTCACATTTAAATGCAATAAATCTAAAACCAAACAAACAAATAATGCATTTTAATTAATTGTGTTGTGAACATAATTTATTAGCTCCAATACTATTTCTAGGGAATAATAATAATAATAATAATA